GATGAGATAGATTCTTGGCATATTAACAACAATGTATACGTATACAATATTTAATTATATAGATCTTTACAGTACCTCTATAAGGACGTGTGGGATGCATATAGTCAACGTAGTGTTGCTGTTTCTTTCTCTTCCTCATGCAGAAGAAAAGAATGATACCAAGAGCTATGATGAAAATTCCAGCACCCACAGTGGCTCCACCGATGATAGCCGCACTGGATGAAGATGAATTATTTGATGGAGGAGAGCTTCTTGATCCGCCGGGAGGTCGGGTTGATGGTGAAGGAGGCGACAAAGATGGGGGAGGCGGAGAGAATATGATTGAGGGAGGAGGGTTTCCTGTTCCATTTGGAATTTGAGGAGCGGCTGGCACAAATGGTGTCGGTGGTGGAGTCGTTGATGGTGGCGGTGGAGAAGGTGTGTCATTGGGAGGTGGGGATTGGTCTCCTGGTGGAGGTGGTGTAATTGTAGGTGATGAGGGAGGAGGTTGTGCTGACGGCGGAGTTTGTGGCGGCGGAGCCAAAGGCGTTGGAGGAGGGGAAGAAGGGGGAGGAGGGGAAGAAAAATGAGGGGTAGGCGGTGGAGGGGAGGATGGGGGTGGAGATAATGGAGGTGGAGGAGAAGATTGTGGTGGTGATGGAGGCGGGGATTCTTTGGGTGGTGGTGTTTCTGATGGAGGTGGCGGTGTTTCCGTCAGTGTTGAGGGGGGGCTCGCATTTGCATCCATTTGAATATTCAATTAAATTCTCCGGCCGAGAATTTTGAATTGCTGCGGCCGGGGGTGAAAAAAATCCACCTTTGGTAACAAAATTCTTCCACAAACTCAACCCAATAAAATGCCAATTAGAAATAGACGCCTTTTTAACCACACAAAATTCTAATATTCGTGAAAACCTCACCACCACCACATCCGTTCACAAGTGTATTTGACCTCTTTTGTTAAATTAATTTTCGATATATATAAAAATTGAAATGTAACAACAATACCTTATTGTTTTTATAATAAAATCAAACACAAACTAGTCAAAAACAAAAAAAAATGTTCAGAATAAATTTTCTCCAAAGAAAATGGCAAAATGGTTTGTTTATGAGTTGTGTTTTTTGTTATATCCCATCTTGCAAGGATCATTTTTTTCATCTTACAAGAAATACTACACCTTGGAGTCTCTCCCAACTGTTACCTCCTACAAAGAAGGCCCTCTCTAGTCCTGTATCTCTCATATCTCTGGCCTATAGCTAGAAACCTCTTATTTTTTTAAGGATGAAATGAGTTCGTTGTTTCTCTTTTACTAGTTCCTCGATATATATAAAATAATCTTTTTCCCATCTATCATCTGCACCACATTTTAGGATACTAAAATTTTATAAGAACTATAAAAGATGCATTTGAAAATTATCTATTACTCCCTCTGTCCCACTAACAACGGGACAAGAGGGAGTGACACGCAAATTAATAAAAAGTGGTTTATGTGGTTGATATTGAATTGATAAAGTAAGAATAAAGTATGAGACAATCTTAGTGGGACGGACCGAAAATGTAAAATGGGACAATCTTAGCGGCACGGATCGGGGGGAGTTTTACTTGTGATCCATTAAAGAATGACTTTTATATGATAGAATTAAAGGTGACTTCAAATACAATGTGGTTATATCAGTAACTATTAACGACTATAAGTATATTCAATTTTATACTATACTAACTGTGACATTATATTCATAGTAATTTTAGTATATATCATTTTTCTAATGAATTCTATTGTAGTCATTTTAGAAAAAAAAACATCTTAAAAATGCATTCATTATGAACTTAACAGAAACTATTTATTTACAGGTGGGTAAGAGACTGACCAAAGATCACAAATTAAATTCAAACTCCATGAAAATCTAACTGGAACAGTTCATATTGAATTACATACTACAGTATATATAATAAGGTCAAAAATTGTTTTTACCCAGTCTTCATGTTGTCCACTGGTTGATTGCTAGCCTTCCCTTATCTCCATCTTCTTCCTTTTCCATTTCTGTAGCCCTCTCCCGTTCTATTGTTTCTTTTTTGGTTTTGTGGAAGCTGACGGTCACCATCGGGCGCCATAGAAGATTTGAGTGCTTACGCAGGATAAACCGCTTTCAGAGAACTGTAGTAAAGGGAAGTTAAACCATAAGATGAAAAAATTTATCTCCGAGTGTCGTGTTTCTTAGGAATAATGAAAAGTTTCTTGTTTTTAATTTCAATCATGGGTTATTGCAAATTATTGGAAGCTTTTTTAATTAAAAGACTTTTTATTGATTGGCTAAACTACATTTCAAATAAATGGAATAATTATGAATACATTGATGATGAGTAGAATAAACTGAATGAGAAAGTTAGCTTTCATATCATAAGTGTACTAGAATTTAAATAAAACTGAGTAATTATTTCATGATAAAATTACAATAATTATTAAGCTTTAAATGGATTGATCGAAGAAGGCTAGTGAATTAATTGAACCATAAGATATGTATATATTTTTGGACCTAATAAGTAGGTGCTGTTATAAGTTAAAATTTAGACTAAAACTTTCTTTTATTATTGCCAAGAATTAAATTAGTTTCATCAATTAATCTAATTTCTAGGCCTCATTAATGTGTTTAAAATATTGGCTTAAAGTTATATTGTAATCACATAGAAAAGATAGAATAAAGGAAAAATCGTATTTTCAATCCCTCAAATTATATACATATTGAAATGTTGTTCTCGTGTTTTTGAGTTTGTAAACGTCACCCCTCAATTGTCCGAGGTGTTGTAAATGTGGACCTGATCGGCAAATCTGAACTAACCCCGCAACCGCCGCTAATTTTTTAGCTTTTCACACAATTAGGGTTATAACTTCAGACAAAGTACAAAAATAATACTCTTTTTTTAAATTCGCACCGATATTTTTGTCTCTAAAGTTACATTACAGATTAAAAAATGTCGGTCGAACAAATTCAACTTTATAGCAATAAAAGTTTCACTCAGACAATAAGTATTTATGAAATGACCAAAAAATTGTACTCCCTCCGTTCCAAATTGAGTTGCAAAATTGATTTTTTGGGATCAAATAGATTCATTTTATCCACTTAATTAAGATATCAATTTTTAAATAAATCTTAATTTGGGTTTTGCCACTTTATAAATTTTAATGTAATTTCTGAATATGTAAATATTAATTATTAAAACTGAATTAATTATCAAAAAGGAAGGTTTAACTTTAACAATGGTTGACAAAAAAATATTGACTTTGCAAAACAATTTAGGAAAAGGTATTACCATTTTGTACACATTGTCAAAATTATTTCCAAAGAATAAATATCTCGCATTGTGTTATCCTTTTTTCCAATGGCAAATATTTATTGACACTGTCAGTGTCATACAATAGGATTTGAAAGTGTTTATAAAAAGGGAAAACTGTCAAATAGGTCCTCGAACTTTCATAAAAAGATCAATTAAGTCCTTCTATAGGAGGTTCTGTCCGGCCGTCGCGATTTGGGGCAGTTCCCGGTGGAATTTTTTGATCAAATTTTTTGAGGATCTTATTCACCAAGTCTAGTTTACTCATACCAAAATTCAGCTAAAAAATCAATCGGGAACACATTCAAATTAATTCTTGAAGATAACTGCGAATTTTTGCGTTCTCGAATTAATTTGAATGCGCTCCCGATTAAATTTTTAGCTGAAATTTGGTATGAGTAAACTAGACTTGATGAATAAGATGCTCAAAAAATTTCATCAAAAAATTCCACTAGGAACCGCCCCAAATCGCGACGACTAGACAGAGTCTCCTATGGAAGGACTTAATTGACTTTTTTATGAAAGTTCGAGGACCTATTTAACAGTTTTCCCTTATAAAAATTAGGAAAAATTGTTAGTAATAATCCCACTTATTGGCGGTCCGCTCATAATAATCTCAACTATCGATTATATCAGAATAATCCCAACTTTAGGGACCTTCCGCCAATAATGGTCCCTATAAATAAATTCTTGTAGTCTCTAAAATGGATGAGAATAAATATAACAAGTAATCCCTATAAATAATCCTTAAATTTTTACGCTTAATTTCTATTTAAAATTCACTTGTTATAAGAGGTAATATCTGGTCATGTAGCATTATTGGCGGATGGTCCGTATAGTTGAGATTATACAAAAATAATCAATAGTTGAGATTATTGTGAGCGGACGAGCAAAAGTTGGGATTATTATTTTCAATTTTTCCTAAAAAATATACCCAAATAGTACTGTTTTTTGGCATTGTCAATTTTTTATATGTGTGCAGACATTTACTATCCATATTATTTATTTTTCCGAGTGACACTGTTTATCATTCGCCTAACCGTATACTCCCTCCGTTCTTTTTTATTAGTCCCCTTAGAATTTGACACGGGATTTTTTAATAATAAAGTAATAGGCTAAATATAGAATGTGTAGGGTAAATGATAAAATAGGAAAGATGATATATTAAAAAGAGTAAAATGATGATAAAGTAGGAAAGAAAGTGTATTAAGAAGAGTAAAGTGATGGTAAAGTAGGAAAAAGAAAGTAATTTATAAAAAGTAAGTGGGATAAAAGTAATAAAAGTGGGAGTATTTTCTCAAAAACTTTTCTTAAAGAGAAAGGGGACAAATAAAAAAAACGTCCCAAAAAGAAAGAAAGACTAATAAAAAAGAACGGAGGGAGTATAAACAAAAATTGTTAATGCAAAGGATTTTGAAAATGTCTCAAAAAATAAAAAAAACTTAACTTGTATGGAAACATATTTATCTGTGATAGACATTAATAGTCAGTAAAATTGGATTTTTTCGACTAAAAATTATTCTCAGTTTGTAGAAGTGGTTTATAGCTAAAATGACTCTCTACAATAACTTCAGCTGACACAGTCAGAAAAGTAACTTCAACCATATTTTTTTTTATTATTACACATTTCAGTGCGCGAAATCAAAATTTACGTATTTGATGAAAAAGTTGACTGATAAACCTGATAAACCTGATAAGCCGAAAAGCAGTGTTACAAAACGGGTTCTTAGCCAAACTCACACTCATACACAGATGCAAGTGTAGAGATAATATCTAGTTTAGTTGATAGGAGTAATAAACTAATAACCATAGAGTCGTTGGCAACTCTACAAAAAATGCTTACAACTTGCAAGTGCTGCAACTACTAGGTAACAATGGCTAGACTGTTTACGTAGGGAAGGAGCCTGGCATGGAGAGCGATTTCACACGGACTGCATAACACTTTCACCTTCTGCTCACTCAACCCATATTTCTGCAAAACCTGCATCCCATCCTCAGCCACACACAGAATCAGCAAGCAATCTCCCGCATCCGCGCCGGCCGCCGGCACCACCTTACTCTCTGTGAATCCCGAGAGGTTCAGATAAACGCTCCGTTTCAGGCCCATTTCCAGCCCGCCGTAGATGTCAAACGCGAAAACATCATCCAGATGCTTCTGTGACGTCACGTAACAGATCTCATCCCCAACTACGGTGAAAACCCCACCGTCGGAGGGTACGGATAGAACCCCGCATTCCTCACTCTGTACATCGAAAGCCAGCAATTGAGCCGACGGCGAGGGAGACGGTGACGAGATCTCCCAATAAGCACAGCCGTTCAGATAGAAACCGTCGCCGTAATGGTCCGAGTCTTCCAATTCCGGGCAAATCGCGGAAGAAATCCTCCAGGATCTCGTCTCCGAGGAGTAGATCTCGAAAAATACGACCGGGGAGTCAAACGCCGTAAAAGCACAGATCACCTGATAGTACGCCTCGATGTTGTTCAAGGAAGGTTCGTAGGCGAGGACGGCCGACGGATCCGTACCGTGGTAGTACCGCGGGTTGGGAAGCATATTCCGGTCCCCGGTCGCCGGATTGCAGACATAGTAGGAGTCCGAGCATCGGAAGAGGAGTAGGCCGTTGGTGGAGCACATCAGATGGTTGTCGGCGGGGAGGAAATCCAGGAGGGGGCGGGGGACGCCGTAGGCGGCGGCGTCCAGGGAGAAGAATCGGAGGCCGTTGAAGGTTTGGTAGAAGAAGCCGGAGAGTTTGCGGAAGGAGAAGCTCTGGTGGTGGGCCAGGAGGGGACTGGAGATCCGCTTGTCCCACTCGCTTGACACGGATTTGAACCTCAAAAGTGCTTTGGCTGGAAGGAAAGGAAGCGCGTGCGTCTTAATCAACTCGTTTCGAATAATCTCACTATCAACTTCACAAGCTTTTTCATCCCCCTGGTTTCACATGAATCAAAACAAAAGAAAACTATATGGTAAATGAGTGGAATTGGCCAACTAAATTATGAAAAAAAAACTGAAATATATTTAGTTTGAATATTTTAAAAAAATTATATGAAAAATAGTTAAATGTTAATGTACAATAACTTCAGTCAATTCAAGCAAAAAATTAACTTTAACAGTTCAAAGTTACTTATTATTATTATTATATACAATTCATCACACGAAATCAAAAATTACGTGTGGTGAAACAATTAACTCATAACTTAATATATATAGTTGATCAGGGGCTAGTCCCGACAAAGTGGAGACGATGTGCAAGAATAAAATTGAGCCTTTTATTTACACAAGTAAAAATATATTGTCAAATTACTCCCTCCGTATTTTTTTGTTTGCACAATAGGTGTTGACACATTTTTTAAGAGTGAAATAGTAGGGGTAATGAATAGTGTAATAAAAGTAGCAGAGATGGTGGAAAAGGGTGAAAGAGAAGATAAAAAATAGAAAAATTAAGATTAGTTGAGTATTTTTAAAGGAAAAACTTATCAAAAAGGGAAAGTGTACCAAATTTTTGAATACATCCAAAAGAGGAAAGTGTAGCAAACAAAAAAAACACGGAGAGAGTATATTACCCGTAGTGATATATTGTATGGAGTACATTATACTTCGTATTAATTATAAATTACTACTACTTCCGTCTCATTCAAAGGTTCACATCTACTATTCACATGGTCAACTTAAATCGTTTTTAATCTTTTGCTTTATATACTACGTACTACCTCCATCTCGTAAATAAGATTTACTTTTCTTTTATGGATGTCTCAAAAAGAAGTTCTCATTTCTATAAAAGGAAACCGCTTTTATAAAAAAAATACAACTACACTTACTTTTTACCCACTTTTTGCTTGATTTGATATAAAGTAAGAGTAAACTTGGAAGTCAAAACAAAACCCTACCTTACATAAATATGTGTGTAGGTCAAACCGGAAAAACTTCATTGCGGAACGGAGGGAGTATTAAATTTTATCAAATTTACATTTTTATCAGGTGTTGTAGCAACTTTAGAGGCCCTTTGGCAACACTGTTTTTCGGCTTATCAGGCTTATCAGCCAACTTTTTCACCAAACACGTAATTTTTGCTTTCGCACGCTGAATTATGTAATAAGCAGAAAACGTAAGGTTGTAGTTACTTTTCTGGCTGCATTGGCTGAAGTTACTGTAGATAACCATTTTAGCTATTTTTACATATAATTTTTTCTTTATTTTATTAGTAAAATATATTTTAAAAATAATTTTTTCTTAAATCAGCTGAATCAGCCAATGCAGCCGCTTCAGCCAGAACTTCATAAATTTCAGCAGAATCAGCCAAAACAGCTGATTTTCATGCTACCAAACAGGCTATTAATGTAGTTTCTGAATATGTAAATTTTATTTACTAAAAATAATCAGACTCTGAACAGGGATTAAGTTGTTTTATCGTCAGTCAAGCATCGTAAATCATAACGGGAACCTCTCTATGGAGGAGGAAGTATTAGTTTATGTCAAATTACATATTTTTAATTAAAAAAGAAGTTAAAATAAAAGTATTTGTTAACAAAATACACTTCATTTTAGAACAGATACTCTTTGATGAGCATGTTTTCATTGAAGGATTAGCCATGTTCTAAAAGAAGCAATAATGCATGACATGAAAAGACATTTTGATTTTATACTTTTTTTTACTAGAGAGATTTTATGAGTATGAAAGTCTAATGTTAAATATTACTTTCTCCGTCTCCGAAAAAACTTCCCGATTTGACTTACACACAGTGTCGAAACAATGTCGAAATAGTAAAATCTACCCCCTAATAAGTTTATTTTCTTAAACTATTTAGTTAAAGTTTATGTTTGACACTATTTCGACAGATGGAGTAAATAGTGATTAGATTTACCCCTGATAGTAAAATTTACCCCCTGATAAGTTTATTTTCTTAAACTATTTCCTTAAATTATTTCCTTATATCCACTATGTCGAAATAGTGTGTTTAAATTTTACTATTTCGACACTGTTGGACATTGTTTTGCACTATTTGACACTATTTTCATGTAGATAACTTGTCATTTAGGGACATCCAAATAAGGAAAATGAGAAATTGTTTCAGGGACGGATGGAGTTTCTTACAAAAATATCACATTTTTTCCCATCTCCAAGAAAATTAAATTTCCAAAATCCTAAATATGACAAATATAATTTGAATTATTACACAAAAGCTGTGATTAGAAAAAGTAGTTGAATAATAAAAGTAATGATAGTTATATATGGTACTCATGATAATGAGATGAAATAATGCTTGGCATATGAAGCAAACATCAACTTGTTGATAATCTGGAAGCTTGGAAGGGATGACTGTCCCAAGAAGTTCTCGGGAGCAATAGCATAATTTTTTTTGTGTGTGTATTAATCTCCTATTCAATTTCCCAAGAAATTTCCCTAGCACTATTGACCTATTGTTCTATAAATGAACTTTCTCCCGTGAACCACGTATACGGGTACGTGATTTGCAGGCTCTCAGCTTGTGAGTCTGATCTATTTCACAAGCCATCTAATTCGTGGCCTGGTTTATTGGACCGCCTATTTCCATGCCTAATAGGTGTGCAAGACAGTTTGAGGGTGTTTGACTATTGGTTGTTGGTTGGTTGATTGATAACAGTGGATTCCGTTAATTGTTTTAATTAGCTGATAGTATTAGCAATTCATAAAATGATTTTTGATTAAACAGTTGTTTGTAATTGGCTAAAAACTTGTTAAATGACTATTAAAAAATCAATTAATTTTTAGTTAATGCATTTAATTCTTCGTATAGTATGTAATTGCCTAAACCGTTTTTATGATTCAAAAATGTAAAATTTACTTTACATCAATTATTATTATTGTTATTATTAGTATATTTTATAACAAAACTTCCATATTCAAATTAAAAAAAACTTCTAGTACCTTCTTCAATGGACTTTCCGTGCCATAAACAAAGCTAAATTGAAGAACAAGCTAAAAAAGAAAATTTTATTTCATCATTTCATGCACGCTTGCTCTTTTCATGGTTGTTTTCCTCTTCGGCGGCAAGTTAATTAGGCTGGAATTTGGTTTTAAAGCTTTTCTTTTTCTCATTGATGTGCGGGACGGACCGATGGAGAACTAAGGAAAACAAGGGGATGTGGGTAATAAAGGAATATATGAAAATATGAGAAAAAGCCACTCGAAAAGGATGGGTTCAATAGCTTTTTTGAATTTGGTTCTTGGAATAAAAGGCTAAATGGAAGAGCCATTTAACCGAGCACGTTATTAGTTCATTGATTTGGTCAAAAAGACAAATATTAGTCAAATCAGCCAAAAATATCTGATATACTCTTAACCAAACACCTCCTTTGTAGATGTCATGCGTAGGCCTTCCTTGGCTGCCTTTTTCTTTACGTATTTAGAACACTAGTTCTACATAGACCACTAAAACTATTTTTTGGGCCTTCAGTTTTCTGGGCCTTATGCGTTTAGGCTGCCTATCCATGCTTTGGGTCGGCCATGTAGCTGATAAGTCGAAAAACAAGATTCTTAAAAGAGCTCTTAATGTATGAAAAACTCTTTATACACGTCATTTATATCATTTTTTTATACGTACCCCTAGACTGTGTACACAGACAATTTGATAAAAAAAAATGCAAAAGTGGAGTTTACAAATTACACAGCGTGTACATAGCGATGAAACATATGCCCCAAGAATTACCCTTAAGTTTGTGTTATCCATCTAGTTAAGCATGCGAATTAGTCCCTCAACGATACACTAAAACGTAATTAGGTCTTCAACTTTATTCGGCATTGGACTCGATTTTAAAACTTGAACCATTTAATGTTCTTTTGCATGTTGCTTAAAGTTAAAACCATCTTTTGTGTTCAATTTCGCTCTCAAATAAGTAACATAGTATGAACAGGAACTGACATGAATCTAGATTATACTACATTGGCTATAAATTAAAATGAAAATGAATAAATACTACTGCATTATTTACTCCGTATGTAATAACTATATACTCCTTTCATCCCGTAATTAAGTTCCTACTTTCCTTTTTGGGATGGCTCATATTAAAGTTCCTACTTCAAACCTTTCATTATTTAACAAATGATTTACACCAAAATAGTACCAAACAATGTCAAACAGTGTCCAAACAGTGTCAAACAGTGTCCAAACAGTGCACTCCACAGTAAAGTCAAATTTATTTTTTAATATGTGTGAAGTCAAACCAGGAACTTAATTAAGAACCTAGAGAGTATGTCTCAAAATCTTCTTCTCACTCCCCAATTTACACGACTATTAATCAAACCAAAATGTGTAATTTTGATTGAGATATAAAAAATGAACATTAAACACGCAGACCATTCTTTAAAATGATACTCCGTATTCTTTAGGGTCCGTTTGGTTTAAAGAATGTTAGATTACCATGAGAATGATAGATTATTGAGTATGTTAGATTGATGAGAATGTACTAAATTTATACTCTTTTGTGTTTGGTTAAGACTCATGGATTGTGACATTATTTTATTGGAATTTATTTGGTTGAGTGATATTTTACATTACATATTTCATGAATGACTTTAATGCCCCTTCAAATATTTTCTCTTAACACATTAAACTTATTGCAACATGCAATTAAAGTAATTAAAATTAAAGAAAAAGTGAAATATATCTTAATAATAATTACAATCCAAACTTATTGATGTATTTTTAAGCACCGTATATTTAACTGCACAAATGATAAAGATTAGTGAACATTAGTACATAATTTGGTTTAAGTAAAAAATAATTAAGAGAGGATTAAAGATAAACTACAAGAACATGTACAAAAAGTTGGAAAAGGGATAAGATTTTATTTGATTCAGAAGACTCTTTTGGAATGAAAATAAGAAATATTGAGTAGAAGGGATCGCAGAAGAGAGCTAATACGGTTCAAGGATTCTGGTACCTGGTTTCTTGGAAGAAAACATATACGGAGTAACTAAGAAGGAATGTGAGATAACCTAAGAGGATGGGGGGTTTGACATTACGGGACATCTCATAACCTTATTCTCTATTTGGGCATGAAACATTCCCTAAAATTTCTCAGACTCGTGAACTAAACGTATGTATCTTATATTCCAGGCATCAGATTCCGACCTTCATACACGATCACCTCGAACCAAACATGCCCTTAGTGTGTAGTCTTACAGCTAAATGTAATATAAACTTATGTTTGTCCCATGTAAAAAATATTTTTATAGTACCAGGATATGTAGAGTGCCAGGCATTGGATTAAAATCATGATGAGTCAAGCCGCTAATATCCAAACCGAAAATATCATCAGATATGTCGATTTCATCAGAAGAGTCCATCCTCTGCCCTGGTTTCTTCTGTCAAAAACGGATGAATAGGGTAAGTAAAGAAATAAATAAAAGAAGAATCTTTATATACAAAATCGGCATTTGGTTAAAGAAAATTTGTGAAGAAACTGTGCAGATAAATAATAACAGTCTCTGTTCCAGACGAAATGTGGGTTATGTTGGAATAAATCTTTAGAGATCCGGGAGACCAGGATGATCTTTAGAGATTCGGGAGACAGAGGCTAGGGTTAGCGTCTTCTAGTTGATACACATCCTCGGGAATTATCTCTCTAGCAATAGGACGCAGAAAGACGGAAGGGTGTGTTCAACTAGGGACCATAACCCCTCTATTTATAGAGAATGCTTAACCCTAATCAACTCATCATTAATTAGATTAAGTACATGAGTGTTCAACTAGGGACCATAACCCCTCTATTTATAATCAACTTATCATTAATTAGATTAAGTACATGTGTCTCTACACATTTGGGTAATATACCTTATTAGATAAGGTATTAGCCTACAACAACAACAATTTTCAAGTCTTAGTCCCAAAAAATAAGGTACTAGCCTACTTAAAATTAATATAATAGGACCACTAATTTTTTTGCATAAATATAAGATAGCATATAACATATGACTCCATTAATGTAAACAGATTATACAACAGATTTTTAGCTGATTCCTGAAACGCACTAACAATTATTTTAGCCATTAATATAGGCAGAGTTCTGAGTTCTTGATATATACAAATCAAAGTAAAACGATAATGAAACTTCAAAAAAATTCGGCATACAAGAAAGTGTAAAATCTCAGACATTAGTTTTCCAAAAAAAAGTGTATCAAACCGAATTATTTTTAGCACACAATTAGGGTTATAACTTCAGACAAAGTACAAAAATAATACTTTTTTTTAAATTCGCACCGATATTTTTGTCTCTAAAGTTACATTACGGATTAAAAAATGTCGGTCGAACAAATTCAACTTTATAGCAATAAAAGTTTGACGCAGACAAAAAGTATTTATGAAATGACCAAAAAATTGTACTCCCTCCGTTCCAAATTGAGTTGCAAAATTGATTTTTTGGGATCAAATAGATTCATTTTATTCACTTAATTAAGATATCAATTCTTAAATAAATTTTAATTTGGGTTTTGCCACTTTATAAATTTTAATGTAATTTCTGAATATGTAAATATTAATTATTAAAACTGAATTAATTATCAAAAAGGAAGGTTTAACTTTAACAATGATTGACAAAAAAATATTGACTTTGCAAAACAATTTAGGAAAAGGTATTACCATTTTGTACACATTGTCAAAATTATTTCCACTAACATTTTTTACAAAGAATAAATATCTCGCATTGTGTTATCCTTTTTTCCAATGCCAAATATTTATTGACACTGTCAGTGCCATACAATAGGATTTGAAAGTGTTTATAAAAATTAGGAAAAATTGATAGTAAGAATCCCAACTATTGGCGGTCTGCTCATAATAATCTCAACTATCGATTATATCAGAATAATCCCAACTTTAGGGACCTTCCGCCAATAATGGTCCCTATAAATAAATTCTTGTAGTCTCTAAAATGGATGAGAAGAGATATAACAAGTAATCCCTATAAATAATCCTTAAATTTTTACGCTTAATTTATATTTAAAATTCACTTGTTATAGGAGGTAATATCTGGTCATGGACCATTATTGGCGGATGGTCCATATAGTTGGGATTATACAAAAATAATCAATAGTTGAGATTATTGTGAGCGGACGAGCAATAGTTGGGATTATTATTTTCAATTTTTCCTAAAAAATATACCCAAAATAGTACTGTTTTTGGCATTGACAATTTTTTATATGTGTGCAGACATTTACTATCCATATTATTTATTTTTCCGAGTGACACTTTTTATCATTCGCCTAACCGTATACTTCCTCCGTTCTTTTTTATTAGTCCCCTTAGGGTTTGACACGAGATTTAATAAAAAAGTAGTAGGCTAAATATAGAGTGTGTAGGGTAAATGATAAAGTAGGAAAGATGATATATTAAAAAGAGTAAAGTGATGATAAAGTAGGAAAGAGAGTGTATTAAGAAGAATAAAGTGATGGTAAAGTAGGAAAGAGAAAGTAGTTTGTAAAAAATAAGTGTGGTAAAAGTAATAAAAGTGGGGGTATTTTCTCAAAAACTTTCCTTAAAGGGAAAGGAGATAAAAAAACGTCCCAAAAAGGAAAGAAAGACTAATAAAAAAGAACGGAGGGAGTATAAACAAAAATTGTTAATGCAAAGGATTTTGAAAATGTCTCAAAAAATAAAAAAAAACTTAACTTGTATGGAAACATATTTATCTGTGATAGACATTAATAATAAGTAAAATTGGATATTTTCGACTAAAAATTATTCTCAGTCTGTAAAAGTGGTTTATAGCTAAAATGACTCTTTATAATAACTTCAGCTGACACAGTCAGAAAAGTAACTCCAACCTTATTTTTTCTTATTATTACACATTTCAGCACGCGAAATCAAAATTTACGTATTTGATGAAAAAGTTGACTGATAAACCTGATAAGCCGCAAAATTGTTACAAAACGGGTTCTGAGCCAAACTCACACCCATACACAGATGCAAGTGTAGAGATAATATCTAGTTTAAGGAGTGTTTGGGGTTGATTAAAAAAAGCACTTTTCATCTTTTGGCTTAAAAAAAGTTGAAAAGAGTGTTTTCAAATGACAGCTTCTGCTTAAATTAATCACTTAAAAGCTAAAAGCTGGAAGCAGGTAGAAGAGTGTTTTAAACTGCTTCTCACTTTTTCTATTACACCAAAAGTACTTATTTTTCCAAACACTATCAACTTTTACTTTTTGAGAATTACTTTTTCTCAAACACAACCAACTTTTACTATTAATCATTTTTTCCAAAATTACTTTAAAAAATCACTTTTTTAAAGTTGAAGCAATTGCACTCCCATAGTTGATAGGAGTAATAACCATAGAGTCGTTGGCAACTCTACAAAAAATTACAACTTGCAAGTGCTGTAACTACTAGGTAACAATGGCTAGACTGTTTACGTAGGGAAGGAGCCTGGCATGGAGAGCGATTTCACACGGACTGCACAACACTTTCACCTTCTGCTCACTCAACCCATATTTCTGCAAAACCTGCCTCCCATCCTCCGCCACACACAGAATCAGCAAGCAATCTCCCGCATCCTCGCCGGCCGCCGGCACCACCTTACTCTCTGTGAATCCCGAGAGGTTCAGATATACGCTTCGTTTCAGGCCCATCTCCAGCCCGCCATAGATGTCAAACGCGAAAACTTCATCCAGATGCTTCCGCGACGTCACGTAGCAGATCTCATCCCCAACAACGGTGAAAACCCCACCGTCGGAGGGTACGGATAGAACCCCGCATTCCCCACTCTGTACATCGAAAGCCAGCAATTGAGCCGACGGCGAGGGAGACGGTGACGAGATCTCCCAATAAGCACAGCCGTTCAGATAGAAACCGTCGCCGTAATGGTCCAAGTCTTCCAATTCCGGGCAAATCGCGGAAGAAATCCTCCAGGATCTCGTCTCCGAGGAGTAGATCTCGAAAAATACGACCGGGGAGTCAAACGCCGTAAAAGCACAGATCACCTGATAATACGCCTCGATGTTGTTCAATGAAGGTTCATAGGCGAGGACGGCCGACGGATTCGTGCCGTGGTAGTACAGCGGGTTGGGAAGCATATTCCGGTCCCCGGTCGCCGGATTGCAGACATAGTAGGAGTCGGAGCATCGGAAGAGGAGTAAGCCGTTGGTGGAGCACATCAGATGCTTTTCGGCGGGGAGGAAATCGAGGAGGGGGCGGGGGACGCCGTAGGCGGAGGCGTCGAGGGAGAAGAATCGGAGGCCGTTGAAGGTTTGGTAGAAGAAGCCGGAGAGTTTGCGGAAGGAGAAGCTCTGGTGGTGGGCCAGTAGGGGACTGGAGATCCGCTTGTCCCACTCGCTTGACACGGATTTGAACCTCAAAAGTGCTTTGGCTGGAAGGAAAGGAAGCGCGTGCGTCTTAATCAACTCGTTTCGAATAATCTCACTATCAACTTCACAAGCTTTTTCATCCCCCTGGTTTCACATGAATCAAAACAAAAGAAAACTACAGTAAAATGAGTGGAATTGGCCAACTAAATTATGAAAAAAAAAACTGAAATATATTTAGTTTGAATATTTTAAAAAATTATATGAAAAATAGTTAAATGTTAATGTACAGTAACTTCAGTCAATTCAAGCAAAAAATTAACTTCAACAGTTCAAAGTTACTTATTTTTATTATTATATACAATTCATCACACGAAATCAAAAATTACGTGTTTTGTGAAACAATTAACTCATAACTTAATACTCCCTCCGTCCCTAATAACTTTGCCAAGTTTGACCGGCACGGGGATTAATAAAGTAAAAACTGTGTGGTTGAGGTTTGTGCAGAGGAGAGAGAATTAACTGGAACCACAAATTCTTTACATAAATGGGAAAGTGGCAAAGTTAATGGGACATCCAAAAAAGGAAAGTTGGCAAAGTTATAAGGGACGGAGGGAGTATATATAGTTGATCAGGGGCTAGTCCCGACAAAGTGGAGACGATGTGCAAGAATAAAATTGAGCCTTTTATTTACACAAGTAAAAATATATTGTCAAATTACTCCCTCCGTATTTTTTTGTTTGCACAATAGGTGTTGACACATTTTTTAAGAGTGAAATAGTAGGGGTAATGAATAGTGTAATAAAAGTAGCAAAGATGGTGGAAAAGTGTGAAAGAGAAGATAAAAAATAGAAAAATTAAGATTAGTTGAGTATTTTTAAAGGAAAAACTTACCAAAAAGGGAAAGTGTACCAAATTTTTGAATACATCCAAAAGAGGAAAGTGTAGCAAACAAAAAAACACGGAGAGAGTATATTACCCGTAGTGATATATTGTATGGAGTACATTATACTTCGTATTAATTATAAATTACTACTACTTCCGTCTCATTCAAAGGTTCACATCCACTATTCACATGGTCAACTTAAATCGTTTTTAATCTTTTGCTTTATATACTACGTACTACCTCCATCCCGTAAATAAGATTTACTTTTCTTTTATGGATGTCTCAAAAAGAAGTTCTCATTTCTATGAAAGGAAACCGCTTTCATAAAAAAAAATACAACTACCCTTACTTTTTTTACCCACTTTTTGCTTGATTTGATATAAAGTAAGAGTAAACTTGGAAGTCAAAACAAAACCCTACCTTACATAAATATGTGTGTAGGTCAAATCGGAAAAACTTCATTGCGGAACGGATGGAGTATTAAATTTTATCAGATTTACATTTTTATCAGGTGTTGTAGCGATTTTAGAGGCCCTTTGGCAACACTGTTTTTCGGCTTATCAAGCTTATCAGCCAACTTTTTCACCAAACACGTAACTTTTGCTTTCACACGCTGAATTATGTAATAAGCAGAAAAAGTAAGGTTGTAGTTACTTTTCTGGCTGCATTGGCTGAAGTTACTGTAGATGACCATTTTAGCTATTTTTACATATAATTTTTTCTTTATTTTATTAGTAAAATATATTTTAAAAATAATTTTTTCTTAAATCAGCTGAATCAGCCAATGCAGCCGCTTCAGCCAGAACTTCATAAATTTCAGCAGAATCAGCCAAAACAGCTGATTTTCATGCTACCAAACAGGCTATTAATGTAGTTTCTGAATATGTAAATTTTATTTACTAAAAATAATCAGACTCTGAACAGGGATTAAGTTGTTTTATCGTCAGTCAAGCATCGTAAATCATAACGGGAACCTCTCTATGGAGGAGGAAGTATTAGTTTATGTCAAATTACATATTTTTAATTAAAAAAGAAGTTAAAATAAAAGTATTTGTTAACAAAATACACTTCATTTTAAAACAGATACTCTTTGATGAGCATGTTTTCATTGAAGGATTAGCCATGTTCTAAAAGAAGCAATAATGCATGACATGAAAAGACATTTTGATTTTATACTTTTTTTTACTAGAGAGATTTTATGAGTATGAAAGTCTAATGTTAAATATTACTTTCTCCGTCCCCGAAAAAACTTCCCGATTTGACTTACACACAGTGTCGAATCAATGTCGAAATAGTAAAATCTACCCCCTAATAAGTTTATTTTCTTAAACTATTTAGTTAAAGTTTATGTTTGACACTATTTCGACAGATGGAGTAAATAGTGATTAGATTTACCCCTGATAGTAAAATTTACCCCCTGATAAGTTTATTTTCTTAAACTATTTCCTTAAATTATTTCCTTATATCCACTATGTCGAAATAGTGTGTTTAAATTTTACTATTTCGACACTGTTGGACATTGTTTTGCACTGTTTGACACTATTTTCATGTAGATAACTTATCATTTAGGGACATCCAAATAAGGAAAATGAGAAATTGTTTCAGGGACGGATGGAGTTTCTTACAAAAATATCACATTTTTTCCCATCTCCAAGAAAATTAAATTTCCAAAATCCTAAATATGACAAATATAATTTGAATTATTACACAAAAGCTGTGATTAGAAAAAGTAGTTGAATAATAAAAGTAATGATAGTTATATATGGTACTCATGATAATGAGATGAAATAATGCTTGGTATATGAAGCAAACATCAACTTGTTGATAATCTGGAAGCTTGGAAGGGATGACTGTCCCAAGAAGTTCTCGGGAGCAATAGCATAAATATTTTTTTGTGTATTAATCTCCTATTCAATTTCCCTAGCACTATTGACCTATTGTTCTATAAATGAACTTTCTCCCGTGAACCACGTATACAGGTACGTGATTTGCAGGCTCTCAGCTTGTGAGTGATCTATTTCACAAGCCATCTAATTCGTGGCCTGGTTTATTGGACCGCCTATTTCCATGCCTAATAGGTGTGCAAGACAGTTTGAAGGTGTTTAACAGTGGATTTCGTTAATTGTTTTAATTAGCTGGTAGTATTAGCAATTCATAAAATGGTTTTTGATTAAACAGTTGTTTGTAATTGGCTAAAAACTTGTTAAATGACTATTAAAAACATCAATTAATTTTTAGTTAATGCATTTAATTCTTCGTATAGTATGTAACTGCCTAAACCGTTTTTATGATTCAAAAATGTAAAATTTACTTTACATCAATTATTATTATTGTTATTATTATTAGTATATTTTATAACAAAACTTCCATATTCAAATTAAAAAAAACTTCTAGTACCTTCTTCAATGGACTTTCCGTGCCATAAACAAAGCTAAATTGAAGAACAAGCTAAAAAAGAAAATTTTATTTCATCATTTCATGCACGCTTGCTCTTTTCATGGTTGTTTTCCTCTTCGGCGGCAAGTTAATTAGGCTGGAATTTGGTTTTAAAGCTTTTCTTTTTCTCATTGATGTGCGGGACGGACCGATGGAGAACTAAGGAAAACAAGGGGATGTGGGTAATAAAGGAATATATGAAAATATGAGAAAAAGCCACTCGAAAAGGATGGGTTCAATAGCTTTTTTGAATTTGGTTCTTGGAATAAAAGGCTAAATGGAAGAGCCATTTAACCGAGCACGTTATTAGTTCATTGATTTGGTCAAAAAGACAAATATTAGTCAAATCAGCCAAAAAATATCTGATATACTCTCAACCAAACACCTCCTTTGTAGATGTCATGCGTAGGCCTTCCTTGGCTGCCTTTTTCTTTACGTATTTAGAACACTAGTTCTACATAGACCACTAAAACTATTTTTTGGGCCTTCAGTTTTCTGGGCCTTATGCGTTTAGGCTGCCTATCCATGCTTTGGGTCGGCCATGTAGCTGATAAGTCGAAAAACATGATTCTTAAAAAAGCTCTTAATGTATGAAAAAACTCTTTATACACGTCATTTATATCATTTTTTTATACGTACCCCTAGACTGTGTACACAGACAATTTGATAAAAAAATGCAAAAGTGGAGTTTACAAATTACACAGCGTGTACATAGCGATGAAACATATGCCCCAAGAATTACCCTTAAGTGTGTGTTATCCATCTAGTTAAGCATGCGAATTAGTCCCTCAACGATACACTAAAACGTAATTAGGTCTTCAACTTTATTCGGCATTGGACTCGATTTTAAAACTTGAACCATTTAATGTTCTTTTGCATGTTGCTTAAAGTTAAAACAATCTTTTGTGTTCAATTTCGCTCTCAAATAAGTAACATAGTATGAACAGGAACTGACATGAATCTAGATTATAGCTATAAATTAAAATGAAAATGAATAAATACTACTGCATTATTTACTCCGTATGTAATAACTATATACTCCTTTCATCCCGTAATTAAGTTCCTACTTTCCTTTTTGGGATGGCTCATATTAAAGTTCCTACTTCAAACCTTTCCTTATTTAACAAATGATTTACACCAAAATAGTGCCAAACAATGTCAAACAGTGTCCAAACAGTGTCAAACAGTGTCCAAACAGTGCACTCCACAATAAAGTCAAATTTATTTTTTAATATGTGTGAAGTCAAACCAGGAACTTAATTAAGAACCTAGAGAGTATGTCTCAAAATCTTCTTCTCACTCCCCAATTTACACGACTATTAATCAAACCAAAATGTGTAATTTTGATTGAGATATAAAAAATGAACATTAAACACGCAGACCATTCTTTAAAATGATACTCCGTATTCTTTAGGGTCCGTTTGGTTTAAAGAATGTTAGATTACCATGAGAATGATAGATTATTGAGTATGTTAGATTGATGAGAATGTACTAAATTTATACTCTTTTGTGTTTGGTTAAGACTCATGGATTGTGACATTATTTTATTGGAATTTATTTGGTTGAGTGATATTTTACATTACATATTTCGTGAATGACTTTAATGCCCCTTCAAATATTTTCTCTTAACACATTAAACTTATTGCAACATGCAATTAAAGTAATTAAAATTAAAGAAAAAGTGAAATATATCTTAATAATAATTACAATCCAAACTTATTGATGTATTTTTAAGCACCGTATATTTAACTGCACAAATGATAAAGATTAGTGAACATTAGTACATAATTTGGTTTAAGTAAAAAATAATTAAGAGAGGATTAAAGATGAACTACAAGAACATGTACAAAAAGTTGGAAAAGGGATAAGATTTTATTTGATTCAGAAGACTTTTGGAATGAAAATAAGAAATATTGAGTAGAAGGGATCACAGAAGAGAGCTAATACGGTTCAAGGATTCTGGTACCTGGTTTCTTGGAAGAAAACATATACGGAGTAACTAAGAAGGAATGTGAGATAACCTAAGAGGATGGGGGGTTTGACATTACGGGACATCTCATAACCTTATTCTCTATTTGGGCATGAAACATTCCCTAAAATTTCTCAGACTCGTGAACTAAACGTATGTATCTTATATTCCAGGCATCAGATTCCGACCTTCAAACACGATCACCTCGAACCAAACATGCCCTTAGTGTGTAGTCTTACAGCTAAATGTAATATAAACTTATGTTTGTCCCATGTAAAAAATATTTTTATAGTACCAGGATATGTAGAGTGTCAGGCATTGGATTAAAATCATGATGAGTCAAGCCGCTAATATCCAAACCGAAAATATCATCAGATATGTCGATTTCATCAGAAGAGTCCATCCTCTGCCCTGGTTTCTTCTGTCAAAAACGGATGAATAGGGTAAGTAAAGAAATAAATAAAAGAAGAATCTTTATACACAAAATCGGCATTTGGTTAAAGAAAATTTGTGAAGAAACTGTGCAGATAAATAATAACAGTCTCTGTTCCAGACGAAATGTGGGTTATGTTGGAATAAATCTTTAGAGATCAGGGAGACCGGGATGATCTTTAGAGATTCGGGAGACAGAGGCTAGGGTTAGCGTCTTCTAGTTGATCACATCCTCGGGAATTATCTCTCTAGCAATGGGATGCAGAAAGACGGAAGCGTGTGTTCAACTAGGACCATAACCCTTCTATTTATAGAGAATGCTTAAACCTAATCAACTTATCACTAATTAGATTAAGTACATGAGTGTTCAACTAGGGACCATAACCCCTCTATTTATAATCAACTCATCATTAATTAGATTAAGTACATGGGTCTCTACGCATTTGGGTCATATACCTTATTAGATAGATAGTATTAGCCCACAACAACAACAACAATTTTCAAGTTTTAGTCCTGCACAAGCTTTAGCGAGTCTGGCCACGTTCCAATGTGGGTTTGGACCACTAATTTTGTAATTAAAATTAATATAATAGGACTACTAATATTTTTGCATAAATGTAAACAGATTTTTAGCTGATTCCTGAAACGCACTAACAATTATTTTAGCCATTAATATAGGCAGAGTTCTGAGTTCTTGATATATACAAATCAAAGAAAAACGATAATGAAACTTCAAAAAAATGCGGCATACAAGAAAGTGTAAAATCTCAGACATTAGTTTTCCAAAAAGAAAGTGTATCAAACCGAATTATTTTTAGCGGGTAAAGTCAAGTAACATCAATTGCGCCGATAAGTGAAGAAGTGTTTTTTAAGATAAAAGATAAAATCAAGATGATCGGAAATGATCAAAGATCGAGAGCTGTGTAAGTGAAGGGGAGATGGAACTACCGTAAAATCAGTCGGGGAAGATTGCCGGACAAAAACGAGGCAGTGAATTATATCACGGCGGCGGCGGCGAATTTGAAGGTGTCCATATGATTCTGTTTCCGCGGTTCTAGTTCGGGCGTCCGGTTTATAATACTCCCTCATAAAGTGTGGGAAAATGTAAAGTAGTTACTCCAATTTGTACCCTATTTTTGTGACTCACAAAAGCATCTCAATAAAGTAGGACAATTCATTTATTGAGGTGGTCTTTTATGAGTAACAAAAATAGATTGGGGTAAGGTTGTAAACTGTGACCCTTGCGTTTCCCGTAAATTATACGCAGTAATGTGATAATTGCACAAGGGGAGTACTTGTTTTTAAAAATAGCATCGGCATCATTAATCATGGACCATCCTAGAGGAGTCATCATGACTCATTAAAATAAATATTTTAAGTTGAACTACCGGAGCTATGAACCCATAAAAAAAAAACGGAGCTTTGAAAAATATTTTTCCCAAAAATATTTTAAGATATCGAATCTCCATCACTATTCTCACCTCTAATTGGACCAATACGAATTGATGATTTATTCAATTAGATAACTCTTTTAGATTTATTTTTGTAAGCTTAAGAAATTATGGTTGAAGGTGACGTTTTTGAGCGGAGTATTATTCCGAAAATTTTTTTGCTTTTATATATTAATAAATAAATATCAATATCAATTTTTGTAAGCTAAAGAAACTATTGTTGAAGGTGACGTTTTTGAGCGGGAGTACTGTTCCAGAAATTCTTTTGCTTTTATCGATTAAATATTAATAATAGATAGATATTGTGTGGTCCTGCATCTTTCATTATCTATATGGTACATTGGAATATTCAAACATTATCATACTCCTCTTATTAGGGATCTATGTACAGGCTATGCTAGCTTGAAGCTCATAACTATTTTTTGTTTCAACTTTTTAGTGTAATTTCTTTTTTCATTTTCAATACAAACTTCACTCCGCTAATGTTAAAATCTAGTATAATTACTTCTCAGCCCAGGACATTTCATATTCCTAGATTCGTCCCATGCCTTATACTATTCCATTGATGATACGGAGTATCATTTAACCATGAATAAGTTTAAAGAGGGAATAGTCAGAATAATTTTGCTGATTGAGGAGTTAGACCTAGTCAATTGAACATATTTAGATCTAAAGCTTAGATTATACCACGCTAAACTAAAACATCACAACACATTTAAATAGAACAAACTAAACAGTACTCTAGAGTAAAATACAATTAATACTCTGTATCAAACACTACAATGCCTATTCAAACTAAAATACCTAGTAGAATTTAGCAGAATTTATGAGACCTTTTTAAACTCGACCAATTTAGATTGCATTGTACTCCTTCCGTAACGAAAAAATCTTCATGTTTCTAAATCTTCCTATCATACCCTCAATAATTTTGAATACAATACACTATTACAATTACTTTTTTGGACTTATCTTTCATTTCATCATACTATTCCACCATCTTATGATCTTACCTTCAATAATTTATATCGTCTTTCACTATTTTTAATCTACCTATATTTGAAATGAGAACATTTTATGTTACGGAGGGAGTAGTACTAGGTGATTTTTACTGAAGAGTTCCTTAATTATTAAATGCTCCATCATTTTTTTAATGACGATGCTTTGACTTTTAAACGTTCACACATTTCTCTTATCTCTTGAACAAATTTTTACTACTCTATACTCAGTATAAAAAAATCACATTACATGAAATGTAACTCACCTGGTAAGAAGAAAGTGTCATACAGGAGATGTCTGAGTTAAACTCCAAACAATGATTTAAGATCGAACATCACTCTCTTTTCATTAGTGTGATGAATGCTCAACTTACTACCTGCTACATAACTATTCGGTCAATTTTGGGAAGCCTCGTAGACGTGGTATCATCCTTTTTTATTGTATTTCTCTAAAGTATATTTTCACGTACAATGTCCATTGTAATTTTCACTAATGAATAAATGATTATATTGTTAATTGAAATCTTGCATTAATGAATTTGAAAATCAAATTAGTGCATAATAAAACACCAATGTTTTATTTAAAACAATGGAAGTCTTGGTTTCGGTACCATTACTGAATCTAGTACGTGATCATATAGAACTGTCAAGTAAAACTTATTATTGTTTTGTTGCTAAATGAGAAAATAAAAACTACTTGTGTATTTTGTACAAAATCTATCAACTACACATTTATCATCTAAACAAAGTGACGAAGTTTGAAACAAACAGATAAAAGTAGGGATAGCAAATCTTATTGGCACGCAACTTGAACTATTATCCAATAAAATAACTTTCGACAATGTATTAAAATCACTTTTTCTAAACTATTGTCTTATTTGTCAAAACAGTGAAAGAAATGGGAGCGATGTGATGAGAATAAATTATTTAGTATTTAAATATATTATCAATATAATAGGTTTATTGTTATAAAATACGGAGTAATAAACCAAAAAAAATCATATAGACAACGATTTATAGGCGCCGGTGAGCATAGCTCAATTGATAGAAAATGTTTAATGTCTTTGCAAGTATCAAAATCAAGATTCAACTTTTATCTGTGAGCTTGCGATTAAAATGCAACGTGGATTGTTTTTAAAATAATATCCATAGGTTGAGTCACTGAAAGTCAAACGAGCGATAGCAGACAAGCAGTGGGCTTGACTCATGACTTTGACCTTGACCCAGTCAATCTGTTTTGCACGTTAGTCGTCGAACCTTCTTATGAATGATTTTTGCATTTCTCAATCCAGACACTAATTGAACTAATCATATTTTACATCCATTTATTTACCGTTAAGAAAACAAGAATTTCTTGAAAACGAGAGGCAGTGCCAAACGAGTTACGAGACGTAGGAAGTGTATACCATACCGCCGGTTGTACGGTCAACACCATACAGTCACTAGCATTTTACAAATTTATATGAAATTCGTTGTTTCTGCTAAATGAGCATTAATTCACTTTTAATGAGCATCAGATATATATTGTTGTGTATTAGGAGCCTAACAATGAGTATCGTGATATCTGTTTCATATGTTCTAATTCACTTTCTTTTTATTATTTTTTTCATTTGTGAAAACTTATTAAATTATACCCGGAGTATCTAAATTCAATATGAGAATCTAATGTAATATGATACTTTTGAAATATGCATTGATAAGAAATTTTAAAAATGAGCGTAAAATGAGTACCATTTGAGCTTACATAACTTACAAAATGAGGACACGGAGTAGAGTTCCATCTCTCTACATCTTCGTCTTCTCCCTAGGGCTCGGCCGCTAGGGTAGGTATTTCCAATCTCGGTATCCACCGAGGATCGAGCATCGGTAGCAGCGACGCAAGGGGACGAGTCAGGCATTGCGAAAGCTTTCACCTCAGGGCTTGGTTCGTGAAGTAAGTTGCGGTAGGCGATTTGCCCGAGAAGATTACTGCATGGAGGATATTGTCAATTCGTATAAGAAGATGTCAATGGAGAATCAGGAAAACGAGCTTAATTTTGATGAGGAGGTAGAGGAGGCAGTCGAGGAGGTGATGGAACCGGCGGGCTTTCCAGTGGTTGGGGTTGTCGTCACCGACCGTAGGATCAAGCTACCGGGTTTCCAAGAGCTGATGACTTCAATATGGAAACCAGGGAAAGGTATGTCTATCAAAGAGATCGGTGAGCGAAGGTATTTGCTAAATTTTAACCATGTTTTGGATATGAACCGTGTGATTGAGGATGGCCCTTGGCTTTTTTGGCGTGATTTAATTCTGTTGAAAGTGGTTCAGCCAGATGATATAACTGAATCGATGAATTTATTTGAGACTAGCTTTTGGGTACAGGTTCATAATGCCCCTATAAAATATAGAAATTTGAGATCTGCCAGGAAAACTGGTAAGTTTTTAGGATCTTTCATTAAGTTTGAGATGAGCCAGTTTGATGGAAAGCAGAGTTCTTACCTTCGCATTAGGGTGTGTCTGGATGTGCGCCAACCTTTGAAGAAGGGTACCACTTTGACACAAGATGGGGTGAAGCATTGGGTTGATTTTAAATACGAAAAGCTCCCTAGCTTTTGTTTTATTTGCGGTATAATCGGACATTCTGATAAATTCTGTCCAATGAAGTATGAAGAGGGCTTTGTAGCTGAAAAAACCTATGGGGTGGCACTTAGAGCAGGAGGAAGGGCGAAGACTAGCTCGACGGGAGACAATAAATGGTTATCTGATGGAGCCTCTAACTCATATGGGTATGGAGTGCAGCGGAAGGCTAATCTTGGGGGAGAGTTTTCAGCAGAGTCCAAGTTTAGTAGGCCAGCACAGAATGAAAAGGAGGACAAGGAGGAGACTCCTGGAGATACAAAACGCAGAAGGATATGGGATAATCAGTCCAAAGAGGATATCGCTGGTGAAGGAATGGCTCTGGAGGGGTCAAAAAATGGGGAAGCGGCGGGTCAAGGCTCTTAGACCCGCCGTGTTTTCATATGCTGGTGGTGAAGAAGAAATCAAGTGATGGTGTTATTATTATTGTCTGTTTTGTTTGCTTTTATTTCGGATGCTATGTTCTGTTTTCTTTTCGTGTTCTGGTTTCATGTAAGACTCTTGCATTAGGTTTGGGGAGGGAAAGTCTGCTTTAACCGTCATTGGCTTTAAGTTGCCCAATTTTAGTCTAGCGAGTTATACTGCTTTATTACAGGTGGTTAACTCTCAGTCTCGGCCACGGGCGGATGGTTATATGTGGTTCTTTTCTAGTTCTGTACCCTTGCTGAATGCTATTTCTATGAATTAAGCCCTCTTCGAGCAAAAAAAAACTTACAAAATGAGCATTGATAGGAAAATTATAAGTTTTTTAGTTAACATCAACACATTTTAATTGAGCACATGACTCCTCTATTGAGTATTAGGAGCACGCAATTCAAATATCATGGTATGTGCTCCCGTATATATAATCAACTTCTACATGAAACTAATGTAATATGGTACATTTGAAATATGCATTGATATGACATTTTAAAATGAGCATAAAATCAATACCAAATGAGCATGCATTACTAAAAAAAATGAGTATTGATAGGAAACTGTAAACTTCGTTAGTTTAGCATCAATAGATTTTCGTTGAGTTTCAAGCTTCATTTATTAAGTATTAAAAGCATGCAATAAAGTATCTTAATTCTACTCACATGTCTATAGTGAACTTTTTTGTGAATGTAATGTAATTTAATATGATACTTTTGAAATATATATTAATTTGACATGTTAAAATGGGCATATATAAAACCAGAACTAGATGAGCATAAGTTGTGTGCTTTCTCAAATATTCATTGTGTGCGTTGTTCGTTCTTGAATTACAAACATAATTGTGTTGTTTTTATAATATTTACTCGTGCACATTTATTTGACACTATATTCATTTTAATATAACACAAAATTAAACTCATCTTAGTAATCACACAATATTTAATAAACTAATAAATATTTATCTTAAAATAAAAAATAGAAAAACAAAACATTACAACTAAAATATTTTATAATTGCATAAAAATTAAAGTAAAAAATTGTTATAGGAAAAAGGGAAAAAGAAAGAAAGAAGTAAACAAGTAAAAGCAAGAAAAAAAGAAAAGGAAAGACAAGAAAAACGTAAGAACTGACCGAGCACCAAAAGCATGGAAACAAAGAAAAGAAAACAAAAGAGAAAAGGCGATCATTATAATTCGGAAGAAATTTTAAAAATGTCAGTTATACCATGCTTTTATATTTTGTCAAATTGAATCCCCTATCCTCTATCCTAAGGGTCTGTCACGTTCCAAGAACATATGAGAGGTTGTAAATAACTCTTTTCTTAGTGCGCATCATAGGCCCGCCAGCCCAGCAAAATACACGCTTTTAATGGTTGGAATGAGGATATTAATCCGAGAGATCAACCACACCACTCTATCGACGTATCTTACTATAAATCAAATCTACCACTTTTTAATGTTGTTACACCTTCAAAAATGGTAATTGCCTAAATTTATTTCTATAATTAATGTTTGTTTCATTTATGTTATATAGTAAATGAACCGGGCTTGCAGTTCATAATCAGAACTGCATATTTTCTAATATTCGTTATCTACATAGTACTTTCTTCTCATTTTTAGAAGGTACTATACAGAAGACACCTTTTGGGCAATCGTCAGTAAAGTGCGATTATTATCCTTCTTTAAGTTACATTAGTGAGCAAAATATGGTTTCAAGTATATGGAGTGTTAGTTTTGTGAGAATGGGGAAAATTTTGGTTTCAACGTATGTATGGTTGTATAGCCGACGATCTCAGAGCGGAAGGTGGCGAAGGGTGAGAAAAGGTCAAAAGAAGGTGTGATGCATGATAAGATCACGTTATATGCATTGCTTGACTTATATTAGAGTTGAAGGAGGTGAGTTAATATTGGATAGGCTTTCAACGAGTGGTGTAAATATGAAGTGGGAAAGTCTAGATTTTTCCATTTTGAAGTGGATGCAATGTTTAGGAAAATCCAGTCGTGAAGTACAGAAGTGAGCTGAGGAAATCGATTTGAGAAAACCTTAACGTGTGCGGTTAGAAGCTCTAACAAAAGTGACATCAAGCTTTCTGGTGTTGTGTGAAGGGATGGATGTGTCTAGCGGGAGTGCTTTCTCCCAAGAGGAGCAATTGTGATCCGTAGCATGGTGGGTGCGGTGAATATTACTCCGTCTTTGGGATGGGAGATTGGGTCCTCTGTTCTAAAAGTCGTTCTTGGTGTCCGACTAGTCACCGTCTAGGCGCTAGGTGGTGGTCAGGCGACCCGATTTTCGTCTACGCGCTCCGACTAATTGGTTTGCCGTCTCAGTGAATTAGTCGGCCGCCTGTGGCGTCTAGTTGCCGGCCTAGAGCGCCTAATCAGCCGCTTAGGCTGTTTAGGTTCGCCAAACATTACTTCACTTTTTAATTTTAATTTTCTAAGCAATATACGTACTTTAGCTTTAGCTACGTATATAAAGAAATGAAGTTGTAAATTAAGATAAAACTATATAGGTTTCTATATATACCTAAATTTCATCATTATTTACAAATAAATCATAATAAAGCATAAAGAACTTATAGTCAACCCCATAATTGTAATGTCAATTTTATGATCATCTTCAAAAGGACCATTATACCCAGGTTGATGAATATGATGAATAAACTCGTTATTAAGATCTTAAATAGTATTGGGTGTACCAACTCATATATAGAAAGAGTGGAAATAAAGAATAAAAAAGTAACAATGTAGAGACTGTAACCTGCACAACAGATGCATGCCACCAACCGTCTTTTTTATGGTCCAAATTGATTTTTTTAGCATTGATAGAGGTAATTTGTATAGTATTTTTTAAGACAAGGTAGAAAAGAACTCATAACGTAGTAAGGAAAGTATTGTTATTTTATATAAAAAATACTAGCAACGTAAATATACTAATAATTACCAATGAAATGCATCAAAATAATGGTTAGACATTATTGTCACATTAATGGAGACAATATTGGATTTATTGATGATGTAGGATTGCACATGGCCTTATAGGAGTAACTCTATATTCTAAGCATCACCTGTCATTCATTTGAGTAACAAACTCCTTTATACTCCCTCCGTAACAAAAAAATTTTTTTCGCCTGTGACTAAAAAATCTTCTCACTTCTAAATCTTCTCATCATACCCTCAATAATTCTAAAAATAATATACTATTACAACTACTTTTTTTGGATTTATCCTACATTCCATCACATTATTCCACTATCTTCCCATCATACCCTTAATAATTCATATTATCTTTCACTATTCTTAATCTACCTACTTTTGAAATGGGAAGGTTTTTAAGTTACGGAGGTAGAAGTAAGAGTAGTATACCATCATAAATGACCAGAGTAGGTAACAAAGGTAGATCAGGCCAAACAAAACAAAACAAAAATCTATAGTCATCCATGATTTGTTTGTTTAGTAACAACTACTAAGCTCTAACTAACTAAAAAAGATGGTGCTTCTTATTTGATAGCTTACCATAGTGGTTGTCTACTTGTCTTCAACAACTAAATTGCTTAAAGTAGGAAAGTATTTTGTGGAATAGCAAGTTAAAGGCTACTTAGTCTGCAGAGTAAGCCGAGTGATGCAACCAAATTGGCCCATAGGCTCGGCTGGTAAGGTTAATTTGTCTTAATCTGTTAAATTTTTGAAAGAAAAAGGCTTTGGAAAACTTTATTTCAGGTAAGAAAGTAAATCAAGGTTATTTATTCTGTCCTGATAATCATTGTTTGGAGTTGAACTCAGACATCTTGTGTGACACCTTCTTACCAGAGGAGTTACATTTCATGTGATGGGAATTCTTTATACCGAGTTTGGTGTAGTAAAAATGTGTTCAAGAGTGAAGTGAAGTGTGTGAACGTGTAAAAGTGAAAGCATCGTCATTAAAAAATGGATGGAGCATTTAGTAAGGAACTCTTCATTAAAAACCATCTAGTATTGCCCCGTGACATAAAAATGTTCCCATTTCAAAAATAAGTATGTTGGGGTATTGGGCCCAAGCCCAATACGCCCGGCCCAAAGCATAAAGAAGGCCCAGGGAAATAGGGAACTCAACGCAATCAGAAAGGTCCAAGACGTCCCGAACGGGGATACCTGAACAACATTCGGGTAGATTTGTTCACTTGAGACAATCAAACAAAGTACTGGCATCCAAACACCCACAAAGGGGTCCCGCACGCCGAACGCACTACCCGGACGAGTAGTCAGCAAGTGGGAACCGCATTTAATGCTGAATATGGCAATAGCAAGTAGGGGCATGGGTGCACTTGTGGCAGAGGTAACAGCCTACCGGGTTCGGCCACGTGTCCATCTCACACACCCCCTCTCTAGTATAAATACCTGTGTTAAATATGTTATAAAGAGTTGGCAATTTCATACTCAGAGCTTAGCAATAGAATCATCTCTCTTGTTCTTGTATTTGAACTCATACCGACCCACCGTTCGGGCAGTTTCAGTGTAATCACAAAATTACGTAATACAAGTTAGCTTCTGAGTGAAACCTTAATTCATTGTTTTATATTTTATATACCTTTTAACCGAGATTAACATCATTAATATCCAAAGCGTGTGTTGGGCTTTCGGATCTACGAGACTAAACCTCAACAAAGTAGATTAAAAATAGTGAAACATGATATAAATTGTTGAAGATATGGAAAGATAATGGAATATTGTAATGGAATGAAAGATAAATCCAAAAAAAAATTGTAATAGTGTATTGTTTTCAAAATTATTAAGGGTATGATGAGAAAGTTTATAAATATGAAGATTTGTTCGTTTTGAATGAAAAAGAAAAGTGAGAAGATTTTTTTGTTACGGTGGAAATAAAATGCAATCTAAATTGGTCGAGTTTAAAAAGGTCTCATAAATTCTGCTAAATTCTACTAGGTATTTTAGTTTGAATAGGCATTGTAATTTGTAATGTTTGATGTAGAGTATTAATTGTATTTCACTCTAGAGTACTGTCAAGTTTAATCTATTCAAATGTGTTGCGGTATAATCTAAGCTAAGATCTAAATATGTTCAATTGACTAGGTCTAAGAATGTTTTCTTTTGGACTAAAATTTGCTGGTATGGCCTGGTCTGAATTGCTCTGGTAACGTTTGATCTCTGTATATTTCATAACTACGGAAGTCTGACATGATCTGATCTCACTTGGAACTGAAAAGAATCCAAAAGAAAACATCCTAACTCCTAACTTCCTAAACTCAGCAAAATTATCCCGATTATTCCCTCTTTAAACTTATTCAAGGTTAAGGGTGTGTTTGCAACAGCTTCTGTTTTATAAAAAGTGCTTTTTTGAATGAAATGA